TATTATATAAATGTTCTTATATAAATAATTAAATTTAATACAAAATCTGCTTACCGTATACGAGAAATATCTAATGTCGGTTAGTTAGAGTAACAAGGAATTATCAAATTCTAACCTGTTTTCAGTGTGAATAAATTTTTTGAATAAAATTATCCTATTTTTCTTAAAACTTCATTTCCCTTATAAATTTAGCTTTGTTTTACTTTGAAAATTCATTTCTATTATCTACATTTACTTTAAAATAGTGTTATATTAAGAAAAATGCTTTAAAAGTCACCTCGTATACAAGCATCTATACACTTCTCATTACGGAAAAGGCTCGTATGAGAGTTTTCTCATATTTCTCATACGAGCTACCGAGCTCGTATACGAACTCCGGGGTCCGTGTATCGAATTTTTTTTACTGGGTTAGTCTTTTAACTAGGTTTTCCTAGTGGATGCCTCTCGTAACCAGGCAAACTAGTCAATTCCTGGTATACGGGTGCCAGAAATTTTCTTCAGTGTAAGAATTTTTAACTATATAAGAATTTGTAAGTATAAAAACTCGTAAATGGAAGAATTCGTAACTATAAGAATTCATAAGAACAGTAGAATCTCCCACAAGTTAATTTTCCCCTATCGTGTACCCCTTCCACCTAAAAAATAAACATGCGCTTAGTGGTATCAAGATGGCTGACACATCATAACCTCATATGAATATTGAAACATATATAGTATAATGATGATATTCCCTTCCGAAATTTTTTTATATTAGAAGTAAGTAGAAATTTCGATCCGTGGAAGGTAAAAGTATAGGACATATTGGTTTTATGTCATATTTTTTATTAATGTCAAATAATTAAAATGATAGCGACTTTTCGATGATTTGGTTTGTCATCATCATCATCAGGCTAAGCCTAAATAAATAAACAATAAATTTACACCATAAATAATGTAGAAATTTCCCTACTTGTCTCTACCAAATGTTGGATTCTGATTAGAACCATCCTAGAAAATCTAGTCTAGAAAAATCTAACTAGAACCTGTTTAGATTCTTGTGAGGAAATTCGGACTAGAAATGTCTAGCTAGATTCCGCATAAAATCTAGAGAGATAATTCAGATTAGAAATCACTGGTTAGACCCTTGCTAAATTCTGATCAAAGATGCCCGGAGTCGGACTTAAGCTATTTTTTAGTGTTTTTGATTATGTTATTTTTCTAAATATGAGAATAATGTCTAAAAAGACGCAAATATTGTTAAAATGTTTGTATAACAAAATAATCCATTTTTGTGTTATTTTTGACTATGAATAACATTTTACATCAAATCAAAACCAAGTCAACGAATTTCCCCATTTGTCCCTATCTCTAGTAGGGCTGTCGCTAGATTCTGACTAGAATCTCTAGTCTACAAAAACTAATCGGTTTCCAATCAAATTCTAGTTAAAGAATTATTATTACTAATTTTGTATTATAAAGAATTATTATTAATTGATATTATTATTTATTATTTTAATAATTTAAATAATTTAATAATTTTATAATTTAAATTATTATTAGATTATAAAGAATTATTATTAATTGAAATTATTAGATAATTCAGACTAGAAAAACTCACTAGGACCTTATTGATTTCCAACTAGACAAACTAGTGTACAAGTAATATACATAAATTGTCTTTCTATAAATAAATATTTTTATGAATTGTCAAAAACATTTTAAAGTATAATTGCACTTACATATATTTTTAAATAATTATTTTTACGGATAATATTACAATATTTAGGTAATAAAAATTAATTATACTCACATAATTAATATTTATTTGTGTCTTATTCTTTTAATTTACTTATTAAATAAAAGATTTTTATTTAATAAAATTGTTTTATTGGAATTTTATGTAAGAATGTTCTATAATATTAAAAATTGGGTTTCAAATATGTTAAAAAATGAAATAATTAAATAATATGCAAAATTTTTTAAAAACTAATGCTGGTAAGAATTATCTAACTAGAATTTGATTGGAACTCGACTAGTTTTTCTAGACTAGAGATTCTAGTTAGAATCTAGCGAGAGCCCTACTAGAGATAGGGGCAAATGGTGAATTGCTGTACGGGATGTAATTTAAGCGGAGGTGCTTCCAAGCTATCACGGCCGGGAGGCATGTGTATCCGACTGGATACATTCATTAATAATGTTAATATGAATGAAGAATTCAATTATAAATAGGTTAAGTTGAAAAATAATAATTTTTAAAAGTCAACTAGAAAATTCTAGTCGGGGCCCTATCAACACACAGCTAATTTTACTAACTAGTTCCCGACTAAATATTCTAGTTTGTACCCCATCTGCCGACCGTTATGAAAGTAGTTGGGTTCTAACGATTTTCTCTAATCAGTTCCCCACTACAGATAGGGAATTCTGGCTAGGACCCCATAAAATTACAGTCTCAATTTCTGCATGGGAAAGACGAAAAATAAGGACGAAGAGAAAAAAAAATTATTTAAAAGTTATCCTTTCTTAAAAAAGACATGGAGTGGAAAGGTCGAATGTATCGAAAAGTATCGAAGTAAAGAATGGGCCTTGGAATGGGCAATGAGAATGTAAAATCTTAATAGAAGGGTGTTTTTAAAATTGTTTGTACATGTGAAGGTGGCGCTGCACTCGTATGTTATTTAAAAAGAGCGCGAATATATAAATTTTATTTTTGTTAAGAGAAAGTACACATAACAAATCTTATTTTGCATTGTCAAAAAAAACGTCAATATTTCAAATATAAATAAGCAAATTATTAACTGAAAAAATTTGAATATTATTATTAATGAAATAATGGACTTGGACAATGGACATATAAAAACTAGCACCGTAGACGGCCGCTTGCGGCCGTCGGAGGAGCTAGTAAATTTAAAAAGAAATTATTTACCACATCACAAAAACACATTACATATTAAATTCGCACAGTTATAACTGGCACGTCGAGTTTCGGAAAGCGTTTCGTTAAGACTAAAATCGTTTTACAGAAAAATAGAACTCTAGATAAATTGGAGGAGTCAATGAACTGAGATGTAAACAGCACGTGGCGATGACAAGGTGACAATATTTAGAAAAAGAAATCAATCATGAATTTAATTTGCTTATTAAGGGAAATTAATTTTATTTAGGTGTAAAATATCCTCCTTTTTGTTAATTGTATGTTTGTTAATTTTTATGTGAAGCATTTAAGAAAAACATCGTTTATTGAAATTTGGTTCACGATCAAGAATTTTTGCATTTTCCCAGTCAAATTCATGATTGAATTTAGATTGATGCGCTTTGACTACAGTTTTTGTGTTGTTTTTATTATTTTTGTGTTCGTTTATTCGTGTTTTTAGAGAACGCTTGGATTCGCCAATATAATTCGCAGGACAATTTTTGCAATTAAATTTATAAACAATATTCGTTTCTTTCCATTTTTCAAAGTGGTCTTTGCCTAATTTGACAATAGATCTTAAGGATTTGTCAACAATGGGAATATTGTGATCGAAATTTCTACTTACATACTTCTAATATGAAACATTATATATTTTGAAATTGACCGACATGCGCAATAGGTCACAGCGCACTAATTTCTCCTTACACGGCAATTCTCTCTTATGTTAACCCCCCACCAAAATTAACTTATGGTTATGGGAGATTCGACTGGATAAGAATTCGTAACTATAAGAATCTGTAAGTATAAGATTTCGTAACCATATGAATAATCGGTAAATATATAAGAATTCGTAACTGTAAGAATTAGAGTTCGTAACTTTGTAGTTAAGAATATAGTTACGAATTAAAATCCGTAACTAATAAGAAAAGTATAAAAAAACTAAAAGAAAAAAAAACACAAAAAGAAAAATTGACTGTTCTAAAGTATTAGCAACGTGATCAGCATTTTTTAAAACAAGTCAAGAGGGGTAGAACTTTTCAACACACACTTACTAGATTTATTACCTTGGAGGGTTACTTCAACAAATCAGATTGTGTCCACCTATATCTATTACACCACTACCCCAGTTTATATTGCACCTGTTGTTACGTTGACTAGTTTTCTAATTATTAATGCAGTTCTTCACCTCACCTCTCCTAGACCCTTATATACATACATACAAACTCAACAGGTTTTTTCATTTCTACTTACATCAACATTGATCCCTATCTTTCTTTATAACCCAAAAAATCGGAAATCGAGAATTAGAGGGATTTTTTCCATCTTTAAAAAGTCAGTTAACTATATGGACAACAAACAACATTAGCCTCGATTTCAATCCTAGTAGATGTGTATATGTGTATGTGTGTACTGCTTGAAAATATTCATTGTTATGCGCAGATAGAATCAGAGACTCGTGTTGCTTAGAGTCGTAATTTTTTTTCATCTTTTTTCTCTCTTCTTTTTTTTCTTCCAAGACATGTGAGAAAATGTACACCTGGTCATTTTATGGTATATTCTGATCATTTTATGAGTACATTCACCCTAATTTTTATTATACGGACACGTGCTTGCGCATAATATAATCCAAATAGTTGGTATACGAAAAATTTTTTGGAATCTTGTATAGGATTTTTTTAATCATTTTCTTTTGAGAGTTGGGAAATTTCCTTCGTTTTATGATTGTTATTTATGTGTATAGGAAGTGTTCTATTAAATTAAGGTACTTAAATAAATGTGTGGTAGTGTTATTTATTACTTGGGCGTGTTTATAAATATATAATATGTTTAAATGGATTTGGATTTTTGTGTATATTGATATGTCAAAAATTCGAAAACAATCTGGGATCATTTTATTGCTGCTGTAAATTCTTATGACAATTTTCTTTTTGGAAAGTAGTTAGACAGGAAAGTGTAAAATGTAAGTGAATAGTGTGTATGTGAAGGGAATTAGTTTTCTGTATGTGGATAGTTTGTTTCTTGCGTGCACCTTTATTATCAGTAGTCGAACGTTTGCAATTTACACTGCTTTAGTGCTTTCGAGTACTGACTCGTGCGACCAATTCCTCTTTCTATCGGCGTGGTAAACTTTTTCGAATATGATAGTACTAATAGTTTCACATTTGTTTCAGGTGGACGTGTCCGATTTTCGGAATCAATTTTCTTAAGTGTTTGAGAAGAAAATGTGGAAAAATGCTGGTTTTCTTTGTAGGTCTCTTTTAATCAAGTGAAAGAGTAAGTTCTAATGAAACCTTTTTTTTGTTACAGGAAAAAGCTACGATTTTTAAAAGAATCGAAAGGATTAACTAAAAGCAACATCAGAAGTAGAACGGAATCGGAAAACGAATTGTAAGTTTTTGTTTGAGAACAAACTCTGCAACTTTTTGGAATTCGGCAGAAGAAAGGAACCAACCAATCAAATTCTATATTTGTTACAGGAAACTAATCGACTATTATACTTTTTACAGGAAAAAGGAGAAAATTGACGTTTGCTGACAAGTCATTTGCATAAAGTGTTGTTTTAATACTAGAAAAGACGAATTAACATCGACACCTAATTGGTAGACTGTTACTAAAGTGCTACTAAACTTTTACAAACTGGACAAGAAGTTATTCTGCTACGCTATTTACAGAAAGTGTTTTTGTTGAAATTTAGGAAAGACAATTGAAACCCAACGCTTCAAAATTGTTGGAAGCTTTTACAAAAGCACTAGTAAAAACTTGACAAACTTGATGTTAGTTTGGCAGAATTTTACTAGTTAGTCATCTATGGATCTATCTTCAGAAAGATCTATGAATGCAATTTTCCCAATGGAGGGTTTCTTTGAAAGCTAGAAAGGACAATTTGAATTCGACTCTACAAATACTTCGGACATTCCGCGAGGAGTAACAACAATCGCACTCTAGAAATAATTCCGAAGCAATTGCATGTTTTCAGTAGTTAATAGTAGTAAGTAGTAATTAATAATAATATTAATCCGTAGTTAAAAATATCTATTAGCATCGAACAGTATAGTAGTTATAGTAGTTAACAATATTAATTAGCACTAGATGTCTGCATGCTCATAAAATTAAATTACCAAAGTACGTTTATAATTTTCGTCTAAAACGATTGCATGTGGGTACAGCATTTCGCCTCCTACTCTATACGTCTCGCAGCATTTTTATTATTTTTTTCGTGTATTTAAATCAGAGGAGACTGGAGAGATTTAAACAGACCACTTTTTTGCGTGGTCAGAGGGGTCAGGCCATTGTATTGGTGTGTATAGAGTATAAACAGAATGTAGATTGTAGAAACACAAAAGCATGCCCGTACGTACATGTATAAATACATAAAGCCTCTCGCAAACATCTCATGTTCGGAAGAAATCCACTTCCAGTTTCTAGAGGACTTGGGTCTCGCAGTGTGTTGTCCCTTTAAAGGATCGTACAAGGTCATCAGCCCGGCAAGTCTGGTCTCGCGATTCTCGTTTGGCATTGTATACATATATATTTATATAAAAATGTCTCCGTGTATGTGTACATGAAAACCGTATGAAAGGCGATCCAAAGATCGGATGTTCGGGATCCCCGACGACGGCCCTCAGCATATTAGTGCTCGCACGTGATGTACGTATGTAGCACACGTTCTTCCTGAGCCCGCATGTCTTTCGCGAAACGCCACACGCACGTGATCAACGTGAAGGAAGGATGTGGTTTTAAAAGACGAATGAGCAGGTGACGCTGTACTGTGTGTATATATTGCCTTCTATATATACATTATGCAAGATATACTATCGCCGCGTCGGTCTCCGGGGGGAATTAGTTATGCACTTCCAGTTTTCAAAAGCGTTCGACCCGAACGCGCCGGATATGCGTTTCGCGATGTACCCCGAGATCTAACTATCCACAAAACACTTATATATATATATATATATATATATATATATATATATATATATATATATATATATATATATATATATATATATATATATATATATATATATATATATATATATACAAATTTCCCCCACTTTTAAATATCCGGTCAAAAATTATCGTCAAATCGAAGATTTTAAAGGTCAGCCTAATGCCTCCACAAGAGTGGAAAGTTCTATTTATTGAATAATTCTCTACGTATCATTTCTGCACCTGATGCATATTCTGCACGAAATCGGAAACAACTAATTTCTAATCAATCGACAAGAAAAAATAACAGGGTTACCACAGTATTCTTTCATTTTATCTTTCTCGAATCAGTAAATTCCTTAAAGAAATAACGAAGAGTAAAATTTTCAAATAGGAAAATAAATTTTTTAAAAACCAATTTGATTAGATAGAAGTATCAAAGTTGATTAATACGTATGCTATAAAAATAAATACAACATCAACATTTTTTTTTCCTTTTTAATCTCCCAATGAGTTTTACTAATAAAATGAAATAGTAATTGGAAAGCACAATTGAAGAATTCACCTCTTGTTATACAGTACAATTATCCACCCTTGATCGATTCCACAACTCGGTAATTTTCAAGTTCTCTTTTATATAATTTCTGCATAATCATGATATAAACTTTCTCTCTCTCGACACATGCGGTGTTTGTATCTTAACCATACAATTGACCAACAACTGATAATTCAAAATTCGATATAAAAGTTATTAAACATAATAATAACAACACAGGGAATATTTTTCTACAAATTAAAATTTGGAAAAATTACGTTTTTTTTCTTCTTCTCCAGTGTATAAGAAATATAAGAAGAAAGTTTCAAGAGGCAAACAAATAACGAGAATTTCCGCTCTCATGCGGTTTTAACTCATCATTCGGACCCAATTACATGTCAGGTGCCGTACCCTGTGAGTTTTGCTGTATATTCAACTTACACATGATTGCATCTCACTGTGCGAGTATTTTCTATATGTTTGTGATGTTTCACGTACATATATATATATATATATATTTTTTTTTTTAGATTAAATTATGTATATGTGCTTACCTTTACAGCACCTTCGCCGTTTGTCAAAAAAGAGGACAAAACGTCCGGTCGTCGGGTGGTAGCTGAAGAGCGCCGCAGCCGGAAGCGGCTGCACCGGATTTTCGTCTGAATGAAACGTGAAGGCCTCGATTCCGTTAATAAAAAATGTTTTTGACTCACGAAATCCATTTAATTCTCCTGAAAAGCAAAAATAAGATCAAAAAATTAAATTCATCTGTTCGTTATATATATGTAATACAGTATTAAAATTTTACATTGCACGAAAGGTATAAATAAAATATTTCAATCGGTAATATATTTTCTTTTTGATAAAATTGTTTTTCAATTATTTTCCCCAATATTATATTTAGCAGGTACGTCTTTCTTATTATAGAAATAATTTTGCTTCCTCGTGAGAAAGCTTTGTAGTCGTTTAATTTACAAAATTTTTAAAAATTCTTTTAACAAATTTTCGTCTATATAGGACTATGTTATATAAGACCCTGAACAATTGTCCGGATGTATGCATGGATGTGTGTATGTGTGTGTGTGGATCCCGATTTTTGTGAACACGATAACTCGAAGAGGTTTTAACGAATTTGGCTAAAATTTACCAGGTATATTTATCATAAAAATATCTCGAAATGGATTGATAGACTTTAAAAAATTCTCAAAAAAAAATTTTTTTTTGACTTTTTTCAAAAAAAATTTTTTTTTCAAAAATTTTTTTTTAAGATGGTTATGGAAGTGAATATATAATAAAATCTTATTCTTTGCACCAAGACGGATCGATTGGTATATATAAATTATATATTGTATTTAAATTAATAGAATTAAAACCAATTATAGGCAAAAAAAATTGAACTTTTAATAAAAATTCATTTTTTTAAAATCTTGTTTCTGTACAATAAAATTTTATTATTTATTGAAAAATAAATCAAAAATCTTATTCTTTGCATCAAGACGAATCGATTCATGTATATAAAGTATACATATATTCTATTGAAGTTTATAGAATTAATTATAATTAAAGTTGAAAAATTTACTTTTTAACTAAAATTCTTTTTGATTATTTAGATGCATATTAGTGTATAAGAGAATTTTATTCTTTCTATTAAGGCGAATGAACTTTATTTTATAAATGTTAAATTGTATTAAAAATGATTTAAAAATTAAATATTCTTATATCGATAATGCTTCCTCCACGAAGAAGCAAAATGTTCATGTAATGAATATCTGGATTTACAACTTGTTTAAACAATGATATTAAAAGAATCCCTAACGTTTAATTATATCACTAGCAACAATTCGCGCCCGGCTAACTTCTCACTCACTTTTTTAAAAATAAAATTAGCAATTTTGAAAATAATAGAACGTAAAGAATATTTTTGTAATTATAATAATCATATTAATTAAATTTGTCAATATATATTTAATTAATTATTCAATTCAATTATTCAATTCAATTAAATTATTTAAAAATTTGTTAACAAAATTCTTTATAAGAATTAAATCTTAAAAAACATTCAATTATTCAATAAATAATTGACTTTTGTATTTAAATAATTGAATTCTTGTAGAATTTTCTAATAAAATTTGATTTGAAAATGAATTTTAGTTTAAATTTTAGATAATAATACAATATGAAAATAATTTTTTAAAAGTTATAATAACAATATTCTTATAATATAAAATAATGATTTTAACACTCGATCCTCTTTAATTATTATAAAACATAAATAAATCGATCTTTATTTAAGAAATCGTTATCTTTATGTTTTATAACAATATTTTTAAAGTTAATTAATTTCAAAAAGGTTTAAATTTGAAAATTTTGAAAATCTTAATTCCTATGAAAAAATAATTTTTAAAAAACTTTGAATTTTATTAAAACAATTGAAACTAAGAAATATAATTGATGCAAATTATTTCCTTATATATGAAAATTGAGAATTTTCTACAAAAATATTAAGAAACGGGAATATCTAATGTTTTTCTTCCCAATAGTAAAAAATGAGTTTGTAAAACAATATTGTTATTGAGAAATAAAAATTATGTATAAAATGGGTATATTCTTTTATTATAAATTATAAAAAAATACCTGCATATTTTCGATTTGTCAAACAATATTTTTTAAATGAAAAAAAAACAAAAGCATACACAAAAACTACCCAGGCGGAAAAGTCGGACGAATACCGGATCGTCCAACCGTCTAGCGCCCGCGCCGGTTGAATTGGAGAGTCAATGCCAGTGCAGGCAGTCTGTACCGATTCGGATGAGAATGTCTGCTGGCGCGGTACAAAGTCGGATCCGACTTTCGGTACAGTCTTTCTACTGTCGGCAGTACAGGCGCGGTACAAGATTTGATCCGACCGCCGGATAAAAATTTATACCACCTCGCAACCGGCGTTGTACTGGCATTCGTCCGTCTAACGACCCGAGCGGTACAGGCATTCTACCGACTGAGAACTATATAATTTATTTTATTATTAATATATTAATTAATTTTATTTACTTACTTATTTATTGATTTATTATAAATAAATTATAAGTAATATTAAATAAATTTGATTGGATTTATTTAATATTACTTATTTGTTTATTTATTGATAATAAATCAATAAATAAGTGAATTAAAAATTATTAATTAATTAATTTATTAATAAGAATATGCTTAGAATATAGTTATTGTTACTAGTTTTCAAATTAGTTTTATTTTTATATAGGATAACTTTTTTTATAAATTCACTTTTAAAAATCTTACCACAAATATCTTTTAAAATCTGACAAGTTTTGCTATTTTTTAAAATAAAATTAATAATAATAAATTTAATCCATCATGCTTTAAACATTTTTTATATTAATAATTTTTAAAGAGTCGAAAGTACATTCGCACTGTGATTTTATTGCAAAATGCGTCCGGCTCGGTGCAGGTTTCAGCCCGCCATACACCCGGCGTTGTACTGGCATTCGTCCGTCTAGCAACCAGCGCGGGCCAAATTATATTCCTTATTAAAAATTAAAATAAAAGAAATGTTTAATTAACTATGCAAGGTGAGTGTTAATTAATATTTAATATTTCTTTTAAATTAATTACATTCATCTTTTTCTCTTTTTTAAAAACATTTATAAAGTATAAATGAAACGCTGTAAGTTACAAATGTTTATTTTAGTTAATTTTGTATTGATTTCGAATAGTTATAAAGTGAAGTGTTCAACTAATTATTCCTAAATAATAAAATAAAGATAAATATTAAAAACATTGAAGATTAAATAAAAATATAATAAAACTTTAAATTTATTTGCATAATATAAATAAAATGCTAAAATATTGAAAAATATTTAAGTAAAAATTATTATTCACTTTATATATAAGTTTTTGTTTAGCGGTATTGTATATTGGCGTTGTTTTGCTCACATCCGCAAGCGAGCGAATAGCGTAGTGGTTAGCGTATTAGACTTCGGTGCGTAGATTAGGATAGGCTTGGGCTTCGTATCCCACTGCGAGCGTTTAGAATTTTAATGTGTAAAAAAAATGTAAAATGCGTAAAAAATGCTTCAAACGATTTATAAATAAATGTTAATTAACATGCACCATGCATAGTTAATTAAACATTTTTTTTTATTTTATTTTTCAATAGAGAATATAATTTGGCCCGCTCGCTTGCTAGGCGGACGAATGACAGTAGAACTCTAGTAGAAATAGTCATCTTTCGGAACAAAATTTGGCCCGTCCTGGTTGCCAGACGGACGAATGCCTGTACAACGCTGGTTGTTCGTGCGGCATCGAATCTGTACCGAGCCAGGCGCGCAGCCACTACAACACATTGTCAGGTTCCAGTACAATGTCTGCACCGCTCCGGTCGTCAGGAGGACCCATGCCAGTACAGTCTTACCGACGTCTGTACAGGCGCGGTACCCTGCCAGTGGGAAATTTCCGCCTGGGTAACTTCAAACTGTGGACAAAATGAATGATAGAATACGAAGATTAATATAGTTAATTTTGTTATGTTAATTATTTTATGTCCAGAAAAGTACAGAAAAAGGCTCTTGTAAGGGGTCCTTTCTACTCTACCAACCGTCGGTAATGCAGAATTCTACCTGTTTCGTCAAAATCGAAATAAAATGTAGTGGTACTTAGATTAGATATTTAGTAACTCAAAGACTGCTTGAACTTGGAAGTATACGTTGAAAACTCTAAAAATTATTTGATTGACAGTGTTAAATTCTACAAATGATTTAAGCTATCTATTTGGTAATGTAGAATTTTTTCTACATTTTTTAAATTATAGTCGAAATGAAAAGTAGCGGGATTTAGATAAAATGTTAACTAACTGAAATACACTTGGAATTTCAAAATACGATGAAACCTCTAATAATTATTTGATTGGAAGTGTTAAATTCTATCAATAATGTTAGTAAATCAAGTCGGTAATGTAGAATTTTACCTACATTTTGCTAATAAAAATCTACCAATTAAATTATTATTAATCAGTAAAGTATAGAGTAAAGTTTGAATTGAAATAAATGTTATTTTAATGCAATACATGCAAAACAGTTTAAATAATGAGCGTTGAAAGAAAAAATTATTATAATTATTAATTATGAAAGAAAATTATTAATATTAATTATAATATATTAATTACATTTTATTATAATTGCATTGTTATATTTTGTGATATTGTGTCACATAAGTACAATGCAATGGAGCTGCATTAGTATTATTCTCTCGTGGTATGAAGGCGATAAGGCAATGTTTTATGCTGTACCTGAAGATAATGAAGACTGATCGGAGTTCTGTCAATTACTGCCCAACGGGAAGTTGCCAATGTTAACGATTGGTTCAATAATGGGCCATGCTTGGTACTTAATGGTTTTTTCTTGGCAAAACAATTGGCAACCATCATTGGACCACCAATGGTTTAAACTTGGGATGATCACGCTACTGCCAATGATCGGTAGCCAAGCATCGGGCCAATATTAGTTGCCAAGGAATTGCCAAGGAAACAAAATCGATTTTCAAAAGTTTGATTTTTTATTGGCAGCCAACAAAAAACCAAGGTTTTGAAAATCGATTTTTTTTAATTATTAATTAAAATTTATTTTTAAAAAATATATTTTTCAAAAATTTATTTTAAAAAAATATATTTTTTAAAAATATATATTTTTTTAAATTAATAGAACATATTAATTTAATTTGTCACCTCCGGTAAAACAAAGATG